CTTTTCATAGGCATTTGTTTTATATGTTGAAATAGTTGAAGTGTGTCTGAATCTGTCTCCTCTTTACAATTCAAGACAGTCTCAAAATTATCCACTTTAAAAATATTACCTCTTCCACTTTCCCCACGTCAGACTTGGTTAAGTGTTTCTTATTGGACATGTCATAAAACCTAGTATTTATGGGTATGGTAAAAGTTATCACCCTGATATATACAATTATAAACAATTATCTTTCATTATTTTCTGAACTAAAATAAAAGCCCTCTAAAATGAAAAACTTCTTGAATTTGAAGGGGTATTTTTTTTATTGTCAGAACCACTAGCAGCCTATCACAGTAGTTGACAGTTTGAAGACTCTTGGAATTTTAGGATTAATTATGACATTTTTGTTTTATGCCATGAATGTTGTTTCACGGCCCATGTATTTGGTAATACACAAACAGTATATTAGTCTATAGATACCTATTTCTATATCACCAACTGTATAAGCAATATATATATGTGCATTATATGCACACATATACACATTTGTATATATAGTTACATACATATACATGCATACACATACATATGTGTTTGTATTTATATAAAAACATATGTGAATACGTTTCTTCCAAGCTGGACATTTCTTATTTGTTCTTGTTAAATCTGAGTACTTAGCATATCCTTGATCTTTGAATAGACCCTACATGACAGAAGAAATCAAAGGTATGCTTGAAGCTCACTTTTAAAATCTTAACATTATTTTTTAAATGTACCATGAGTGCACATAAAAATTGAGTACTCACCTAGATGAGCATTAAATGAATTATTATTTTTCTGCTAATGAACAAATTTATTCAGTAGGATGAGATGTGTGGGAAATTGCCATTCAGTATAAAATTAATGAAACAGAAAAAATTTCCCTTTGCAATCTAATGCCTTTTTAAAAATTCAACAGAGATGTTGAGATTCAAGTTTTTTCAAGTGTAACTTGATGAAGTTTCAGCATGTATACATCACTGTTGCCCATCAGTAACTGAAGATTTTGGTACCTACACTATTATTGGGAATTTCATGTGAACATGAAGAAAGAGAGAATGAATACAGGGTTGATACAGTACCTCTGGAAGGTGCCAAGCTTTTCATTCTCATGGTCATTTATTTTCAGAAGCGTCATGAAGGTTAAATGCTTTCTAAAACTTCATTACAATTTGGATTTCAGAAAGCTTATCCTGGAAATAAATAAATCAGATCTTAAATCTCATGGTAAAAGAGGTCCCTGGTAGTGCTCTGTGCCTTGGGACTGTGACAACTGAAGACTTACAGGTAGTTTTTGAGGAGAAATTATCATTAGACATATTCAATAAAGTAAGATTTTCTTACATGCATGAAAATATTTAAGATCAATTTATTGTACTCTTTTCCTTTGTGTGGGAGTGTGTATGTGTGCATGTGTGTGTGTGTCTTCTTTAATTTTTAGGACTAATATGTTTTAGAAAAGACTGCATTTCATCTTATGTTGAACTCACAAAATTAAAGCATAAGGATAAAGGCATGATTTACCATATGCAAATATTTGGATATTTGCAGTAAAGTGGCAATGCATTTTACTGAGTATATAAGGAAGACTGAAGGCAGGAAAAGAGAAATGGGTTACCTTATTAATATTTGGCACTCATTTCCAATGCGTGGGTTTTACCCCCAGGCTACCAAGCAATTCTTGGGCACTGAGTGGATGTCCTACAATTCAACTCCATTCTAATACTATCTACCTGGAAAGAGCATCAAATCTCACAGGTCAAGGGCTCTATCCTACAAGTCTGCTGCCCTAACCCCTGCCCTCAAACAACAATTTTTCACCTAAAAAGTCTAAGTTTTTCCTGTGCTTCCACCAACTGGCTATAGATGGCAAATTTCCATGACCCCTTCCTTGGATTTGATTAATTTGCTAGAACAGCTCAGAGGAGAAGCAATTTACTTACTATATAACAATTTTATTATGAAAGGATAGAACTCAAGAGGAGTCAGATGGAAAAGATGAATAGGGCAAGGTTTGGGGAAAGGGCACAGAGCTTACACACTCTTCAATGAAAACCCCTCTCAGCATCTCTACATGTTCACCAACCCAGGAGCTCTCCAAATTCCAAATCTTTGGATTTCTAGGGGGTGTCATTACACAGGCATGATTGATTAAACCATTGGCCATTGTCTATTGATCCAACCTCCAGCCCACCTCCCTTTCCCAGAAGGTCAGGAGATGGGACTGAAGTTCAAGCCCTCTGACAGCAGGGTTGGTCTCCTGGAAATCAGCCCCACTTGTAAAGGGGTCCAAAAGTCACCTCATCAACATAACAAGAGGTTTTTTCGTTGCTCTCGTCACTTAGCAAATTCCAAGGGTTTTAAGAGTCCTGTGCCAGGAATAAGGACAAGGACCAAATATGTATATTTCTTATTATAAATCACAATATCATACCCATACATAATATTTTAACACCAAGGCCTGGAAGTAGAACATTTCATTTCTGTCCACTCCACTTGTCCTGAGCTCATTTATATGACTGTTTATAAGGAAATTTGTGAAATGCAGTTTCTGGCTATCTGTTCAGTTTAAACTCTGGGTGTATGGTGGAGAGTCATTGATTAAAAAGAAGAAATGGAGAATGCTTACTGAGAGATAGGAGTGTGTATTTGGCAGGTTTTAAAATTCTCTGTGTTTTTTGTTTTTTACTGTTAGTCTATTCCCACTCAGAATTACTTGGAAGAGATTAAAGAATATCACTATGAATTCAATTGAGAATGTTACCATTTCATTGTGTCACAGTGTGTACTGTAAAATAGTGTATTTCTAACTATGCCTATGTTGTCTTTTGTGATTGAAATCTGAGGACTGGCTACAGGAAATTGCCTTTTTGAGAGTTACCAGTTGCAATGTTAGGCACATTTTCCAAAATGTCCCTGATATACTACATATTATGCTTTGATAGTTAATTTTGAAGGAGTTCAGATCAAGTCTCCTCAAAATGTGCCACTTTAGCATGTGGACTATTTTGAGCTGATGGCAACAGAGACCCTGTAGGCTCAATAGAAACTTTTGTTCTTCCTTCAGCGACCTAGAAAATCTTGCCCTGTGTGCTGTCCTCCTCCCCTTGGAAGCCACAGGCTCTTACCCCATTCCTTAGCTCAGGATGACCCTATGCCTCATTTTATCTTCCTATCTTTGGATCTCTCATGTATGTGGCATTTCTGTATGTATGAAATTAAACTTGTTGTGTTTTTTTTTCTCCTATTAATCTGTGTTGTGTCTATTTATTTCTTAGACCAGCCAAAAGAACCTTTGAAGGGTAAAGGAAAATTTTTCCTCCCCAAGAATATTATATTGAGGATTCACAGAAGAGATAAAGTGACATAGAGGATATATTATTTGTTATGTATATATGGAGAAAATGAGATTGAGAGAGAGACACTTACAGACTCAGACACAGAAATAGACATATCTGTGAAACTGAAGTCAGATTAAAAATACCTCAACTAACCCTAAATATCTTGAAAAAAATATCCTTTGTAAACATTCTCTTAAACTTGTTCATTCAAATGAAACTACCAGTTTGGGTCACTCTGTGTTACTCCTACAGGGAATCATTTTTCTACATTCTGAATTCCCCAGAGAATTTTGTGTGTCTTGGTGTTTTATGGTCAAAACTCTTTATTATTTTTAACTAGAAGACCCCAACATTCTAGAAACCTGACATTTGAAGAAGGCTTGTGAATGTGGTCAGCAAAACAAACTCTAAGGTCCAAGGAAGCTGACAGAAAATGGGTCCATCATTGGAACCACTTGAACCAAGCCAGTAAGGAATAATAGTGGCAAGAAAAGGGAAGAAAAAAAAAGGAAGAAAGAATGCACAGAGAAAGGTTCATAGAAACCAGGATTCTACAACTGACCGAGAAAAATAATAGAGAAATTGTTTTCACATATTGTCTAAAGCAAATCCAAACCATTTACAATGCTCCCCATACTAACTTAAACTCTAGGAAATTTTTCTTATACCTGTAAGCACAACTGTTTGTGTTGGGATAATTTGTGGATTGAGGATTGACTTATTCAGTCCTCTGGAATATCCAGCCCTTTTCTCCAAGATTCTCTCCATGTGGCAACAAAATAATAGCAGCTGTTAAAATGTTTATATGGGAGAAAGACACCATCCAAAGCAAGGTAGGAGGCAGGACTTTCCTAAATCTCCCAATACCTTGCAGTGCACTGTCACAAACTGGACTGTAGGCCCACTCCTGAGCCACGTGACAAATACTGACTTTACATTTCAGTTTCCCCTAAGTGTTGTTATCGGTTATTCTGTCATAATTAGTATCCCCTTTCACTCTTAAAATTGTCACAGTTTGGATAATAAATGATATTGCTATCCTACCCAAAGTCGATATAGTTAAATGTCCCGGCCCGCGGGACGAACGTGGAGTGTGCCGGAGACGCCTGCAGAAATGAGACAAGCAAGGGACACAAAGAACGACCAGCAAGACAGGATGTCTGATCAAGCTGGCCAAGTTTATTGTTTGTAGGCTTAATTTACACAGGTCAGCAAGAAAGGGGTGGGTCAAAAGGCAATTGGACCTTAGGTGATGCTGGTGGGAAGGTGTTAAGGGGTGATTGGGCTTTGGTTGGGGCCGGCGGGAGCAGAGAACCCGGAAGAGAAGCGGGGAGTTCGCCATTTTGTGGGTGGGGGCTCTTTGGTCTCTGGCATCTCCTCCCTTTCTGTTCTTTTAGGAGGGGTTGGAGCACTACTTAGGGTGCTTTGAGCCACTTATCTTCTGGGTAAACAGTGCCTGTCTTAGGTTTTAGAGGTCTTATACCTGGCCTCTGTTTCCAGGAGCTTGCCTCCTTTCGGAGTTGGCCTGGCATATTCAGGGGAGCTTGCCCCAATATTAGATCGGCCTATACATATAGGAGCTTGCCCCAGTATTAGATCGGCCCCTTTTAACTAGAGGTCTTATATCTATCCTCTGTTCTTGCAGGTATATCCTCTTAATTACCCGTCATTGACTACCCGTCTTAGTTGCCCAGGAACATTGTCAAGGAACAGGATGAAAAAACCTTGACGTGGGTCTTTTTATTTCCAAGTCACTGTTGGGTCTCTCTTGGCGCAAGGCTCTATGTAAGGATCTATACTTTGATCAGCTAATGCAAGGCGATGATAATGAACTTGGATGGGCTTTGCTATGAGGGAGTCGATCTGTTTTTTAATTAACTGGGTGAGTCTTTTAAAAGCCCAGGGGCCAAAGGAAAGTACTAGTATTAATCCCAGGAACGGGCCTAAGATGGGGAGAAGGTAGGGGAGGAGCCCATTTAGTCCCGTCCAGAGAGGGTTGTCACGGAGTTCTTTCCGCCTTCTTTCAAGATCATCTTGAAGGGTCTTTATCTTGTCTCGGACGATGCCTGACTTGTTGGCGTAGATACAGCACTTTTCCTGTAAAGCTAAACAGATGCCTCCCTGTTCTGCTGTGAGGAGGTCTAAGCCTCTACGGTTTTGCAAAACTACTTCTGCTAAAGAGTCTATTTGGTCTTGGAGATCATTAATTGTTCCCGAGAGGGCTTGGACATCGTTGATTAGTTGATGGGACAACTTATGGTAGGAATGTACGGCTATTCCTGCTCCTGCTGTTCCTGTGGCTACTGCGGTAGTAATCCTGAGGCCTACTAGGAGTGGGATAAGCTGGATGGCTCTTTCAGAGTGTGGATGCCCTGCTATATACTCAAGGCTGGGTATGGGGATAGGTTCTTCTCCTGGGATAATATTAATATCTGGGAGAAGACTGGCCTGCACACATAACCCAGTCCAATTTGTGGGTAGGGCAGTAAAGGCAAGGTTTCCTCCACAGACAAAGACTTGTCCAATAGCGGGGCAAAGAGATGAGGAATAATTGAAAACTTGGGAGCAATCTGTGAAAGAAGCAAATCCTACGTTTACATCATTACTATTACTCTGGGGCAGCTTTTGTATGCATACAGATGAGTTAAATCCTATAGGCTGTACTCTAAAGGGTGAGTTAAGAGTACAATTCTGTTCTGGCAGTGTATTAGTAGCGTCAGTGGGAATTGCGAGGGGCATAGGCGTACCAAGGGTCATGCATAGCCAGCAATTTTCAGCAAGGCTGGGGTTAGTAGCGTTTAGTGCGCTATGGGTGGCTTTTAGGATATCAGCAGTCTGGGTGTCAAGGTCTATGCCACGAGACTTGGGCAAGGCTAGAGGGTGATACTCTAGGGGAGGGTATATTTCTTTGATAATTTCTTCAATTTTCTTTTGAACTTGGGCTTCTCTTACTTTGTCTGTTGGTCCACCGCCATCAGATATGTGGATTGGGGCTTGCGGTGGCCAGCAAATCGCCTTGCCAAGTTGGCCATGACAGGAGGCTTGTGCATATTTAGAATGTCCCGGGGGTTGCTATAATCATACTCGCCTCCAAAGGAACCAGTATAACCATTTTGTAAGATGGCTGTTAGATATTTTTTGCCATCGGCACCAGTGCACTGTTGGACAGTGCGGTAACAGGTAGAGTGTAATTCAGTGGCTTTTTGGCAGGGGTTGGAACACGGCCCTGGTTTGCCATTAATTATAGGTATAATTTTGGGCTTTCTTACACATTTTCAAGACTGGCGCTGCCAACCTCTTCTGGATGAAAATCCACCTGCAGAGATATCTGCTGTGAGGTATGCTATTTTGTCTTGGCAGTCTACAGATCCTCTGGTAGTAAGCTGAGGTCCAGCTATTGGTTTTTCCCCTTGAGATGTTATTTGAGTATGTCCTCTCAGGCTAGGTTCTAAATCCATCACTCCTCCCCTACAATCACAAGGGCTTCGATACAACTGAATGAGGAGTTCTTCCTTATTTGGAGGGGGTCTAAATCCTCCTAGGACAACAGTGACTATTACAGTAGCGATAAGAGAATAGATAGTAGTCGTGATGACTTTTAGGGTTCAATGAAAATAGGCAAGATCACTAGTAGTGGGCCTACAACTGTGCTAACAAAGGTCAGGTGGGCTTACCTTGTCCAATGATGATGAATATTTATCTTCTTCCTGAAAGGCAAGGAAAAACTGTTCTCAGGGAGGATTCTCCTCCCTGGAATGAATTGGGTTATTATTAATGTGTTTTAAAGGGGTATTAATGGGTTTGACAAGACACTCAGGTAACCATCAAGGTCCATTTCCCTGTGTATCATATACACAGGCGTGGCCTCTACCCCAGATAAGAACTGGGTCGGGACCATGCCATTTAAAGGTTAGAGGATATTTCCATAAGACTTCTGCAAATTGGTTTTTTGTCTCTTGGTGCCACAACCTGTCGGCAGCAGACCTGTTGTGGTTGTCTATTTGTAAAAAGTTAAGCGTGAATAGTGCATGATTAAGGAGGTTTTTTGGGGAGCCTTTTATAGGGTAAACAGTGTTGGTCTT